GCTTGGCTACAGCTCCTCCCTCTCTGACATTGATTTGGGTGACAATATGCTAAGTGGGGTTCTTCCCCCATCCGTTTGGAACTTGTGTGACAGGCTTGTTTCCCTTAGGCTCCATGGTAATTCACTCTCGGGGTCTGTTTCCGAGCCTGCATTGCCCAACTCATCTTGCAAGAATTTGCAGTTGCTTGATTTAGGTGGCAACAAGTTTTCTGGGAGTTTCCCTGAGTTCATCACAAAGTTTGGTGGGCTAAAGCAGCTTGACTTGGGGAACAACTTGTTCACGGGTACAATTCCTCAGAGTCTAGCTGGGCTGAGGCTTGAAAAATTGAATCTTTCCCACAATAACTTTAGTGGGGTTTTGCCTTTCTTTGGAGAATCGAAGTTTGGTGTGGATGCTTTTGAGGGTAATAGCCCTGGCTTGTGTGGGCCACCTTTGGCAAGCTGTGCTAGGACCTCTACACTAAGTTCTGGTGCAGTTGCTGGTATTGTTATTAGTCTGATGACAGGGGCTGTGGTTTTAGCCTCTTTGCTGATTGGGTATATGCAGAACAAGAAGAGGAAGGGGAGTGGAGAGAGTGAAGATGAGTTGAATGAAGAAGAGGAAGATGAAGAGAATGGTGGTAATGCTATCTGTGGAGCTGGTGAAGGGAAGCTTATGTTGTTCCCTGGAGGTGAGAATTTGACATTGGATGATGTGTTGAATGCAACTGGGCAAGTTTTGGAGAAGACTTGTTATGGGACAGCTTATAAGGCTAAGCTTGCCGATGGAGGCACCATTGCTTTGAGGTTGTTGAGAGAAGGTAGCTGCAGAGATAGGGCTTCATGTTTGTCAGTTATTAAGCAATTGGGAAAAATTCGCCATGAGAATTTGATTCCTTTGAGGGCTTTCTATCAGGGGAAGAGAGGGGAGAAGCTCCTTATCTATGACTATCTGCCTCTTAGAACCCTTCATGATCTTTTACATGGTTTGTTCAATATATAACCCTCCAGTGTTGCATTTCCTTTTATTGCTTGTGTATTTCAATCATGACTTGCACAATGGCAATTCAAATTGCACTCTGCACTTTCATTTAAACCACTAAGAACCGTCATAATAAATTGAAGTGTAAAATGAACACATTTTTCAATGTCTAACTCTTTTTGTGTGTTGATGTCTAATTTTATTAATATTTCTTCAAACTGAAAACTCCTATAATACTTTAATGTATCTGAAGGTAGAACCAAAATGCTGATGAATTGTCAGCATAAAGAGAAAGAAATTATACCTGCTGCTCGATCTCTGAACAATCATGATGTCTAATATAAGAAACTCTTGGAAATGGGGCTGTCCTTTTCGTGGAGCATTCTCTGCTTGTCATTCTTGATCTCCCCTTTACCGAAAATTCATAATTCAATGTAATAGCAAGAAATTTATCCTTCCTTATATCTGTAATCATATATGAATATGTGAGTGGTCTATCAATAGGTTATCTGTTATGTCATTATTGAAGGTCATCTTGTATAGTTTGTCTAATTTCTTGAACATCAGACTGAATTTAAATGAAAAGTTTCACTAGTGAACTTAGATAGTAGTTTGCCTTTTTTTGAACTGAACATTTTCACTACAGCTTGGCATTGACTACTATGTTGTGATTTTAATTTTCCACAGAACCTAAAGTTGGAAAGCCAGTTCTGAACTGGGCCAGGCGACACAAGATTGCATTGGGCATAGCAAGAGGTCTAGCTTATCTTCACACCGGACTAGAAGTTCCTGTCACTCATGCAAATGTAAGGTCCAAGAATGTGCTTGTGGATGACTTCTTTGCAGCCAGGCTAACGGATTTTGGCCTGGACAAGCTGATGGTTCCTTCCATAGCAGACGAAATGGTGGCGCAGGCCAAGACAGATGGCTACAAGGCCCCTGAGCTTCAAAGAATGAAGAAATGCAGCTCCAGGACTGATGTCTATGCTTTTGGCATACTCCTGCTTGAAATCTTGATTGGGAAGAAGCCTGGAAAGAATGGAAGAAGTGGTGAGTATGTGGACTTGCCCTCGATGGTGAAGGTGGCGGTTTTGGAGGAGACGACAATGGAAGTGTTTGATGTGGAACTGTTGAAAGGGATAAGAAGTCCTATGGAAGATGGGTTGGTGCAGGCACTGAAGCTGGCAATGGGGTGCTGTGCACCAGTGGCATCCGTGAGGCCAAGCATGGATGAAATTGTGAGGCAGTTGGAGGAGAATAGACCAAGGAACAGGTCTGCATTATACAGCCCTACAGAAACAAGAAGTGGAAGTGTTACACCATTTTGAGGTTTCAACTCAACATGCTTATTAATCAAACTATTGATTTTCACTTACTACCTACGTTGTGTTTCCTCATTTTCTCACCTGAATGTGAGGGTAGTTTATGATGGTCTAGATAATGTTGTAATTTTTTGTTTTTCTTTTCTCCATAACTCTTTGCATTAGGTAGTCCTATTGTTTTTGAAATCAAATATAGTCACACAATTATGCAGACTCGTGGTTCTAGAAATTGTGCAGTGCTTCAACTACCTTTTCACCACCAAAAGCTTTGGCTCAATATAATGCAATGCTATGGTAGGAATCGTTGTTCACAACAAAATCAAATTTTCATGATGTATTCTAAAATAATTGTTTCTGTTGTTTATTTTATACTTGATTACAAATTACAATTTTGTATTTTTCTTTAATATTTACTCTGCAATTTTAATCTTTCTATTCTCTTTGTAATTTTGAGTTCTTATATTTTATAAAAATTGTAATATCAGTTCAATAATATTTACATTTTTTTCTTTTATTTTGATCCCTAAAACCTAATATTATTATTAATTAATTTGTCAATTTATCATTTTATTCAAAGTTGAAGACTAAATTATCTTTTATCCAATTTATGTTATATTATTTTAAACAAATATTATGTACGCAATTTTTAGATGTATAAGGGATTTTTTTTAGGAGACTGGCCCTTTTTCTTTTCCTCATCTGTCGAGATAATGATTGTTTCCATGAATGAATGAAACATAAAAAAATTAATCTTTTTAAAATAACATTTTTATAAAATTATTGTTTATAACTTCTCCTGTACATGATGATGCCAAGTTACAGACAGTGATTTGTCGATGTTGCTCCTAACATGTAGTCAAATATGTTGTCTTAATTAAAATATATATATATATAACTATAATAATTAAAAAGGTACTATTAATGTGATTTATATAATTTAAATATTCAAAATAATACTACAAATATAATTAATTAAGTTTGACAAATATTACTAATTAAGTTTTCAAAGAAGTTTGAAGAGAATGTTGAATCCTAGAACAAGAATCAAGTATGTAGTTTCCGAAGGAGAGAGTTTGGTTGAAGGAAACAAAAGAAGAGAAGGGGAAATTAGGTGGTTTTCTTGGGCCGTTCGGTAACTTCACAACTCTAAAGCCCAACTTAAAACCATCCTCTTAAGCTCACCAAACAAGCCCACAACATCAATAGTTCAAATAGTTTAAAATTAAAAACCTAAACACAACTTTACCGCACATCTCTTAATAAAGTTTTTTCTTTTAGCCATAAAATTAGTATCGATTATTTATCCATGGAATCAATAACTCACCGTATGAAACTTGAACGCACACAAGGTTCCTTACTCAAATTAACACCATCATCAACATTCTAACTTAAACTATTTACTTAGAATATAAACTAGTATCACTTTTCTTATTGATTTAATTAAATTTACACTATAATTATAGATAATATGCTGCATGAACCTTTATTCAGTCAATAACAAAATTCATCTTTTTAAATATATATAAGTTATCTCTTATATTTGCAATAAATAATATTTCGTTAATCTTTATGATAAAATATTTTTCTCGAAATCTTAATTTTTTATTGAATATATATTTGTTATTATAATAAATAAGTGACTATAATTTTATTTTATTGAATCAATTTAAATATATAATATTATTATAGTAAATAAATGATTATAATTTTTATTTTATGTAAAACCATGTTAAGTATTTTATTATTTTAATCATAATTAATTTTAATAATGTTGGAATATAATTTTTTTTTCAAAATGATTAAATTTTATATTATTGTTAGAGATATAATAAAATTATAATATAGATATATGTAAAGATGGAACATAAAAAGATGAGATAAAATTTTATATTGAGTAGATACTATAATAATTATAATATATAAATAAATAAATACAATAATTATTTTAGTTCAACCATTTTGTAAAAATTAATTAAATATCTTTCCATTTCTATTTAAAAATTTCAGAGAATCAAACCTTATAAATTTTGTATATAAAATATAATGATATTTTAATATATTTTAGTTAATAATTATATATTAATAAATTAATAAAATATTTTAAAAAATATATTTTAATGTTTACGTTTATTCTTAGTTTAAATAAATGATTTATGAACTAAATTATATTCTAATAATTATATATAAAAAGCAAATTATATTTTAATAATGATATATACAATTTAAAAAATAAAATAAAAGATATATATATATATATATATATATATTTTTTTTTAATTACATTTTAATTTATTCAAATTTTAAAATTAAATTAAAACTTGATCTAGGGAAGGATCAAATTTATTATTTTATTATAAGAATTGACTATTTAAAAACTTATTAAGAGTCTTGTTAATTTAATTTATGTTTTTAAAACACAATTAAAGAAAATTTATTAAAAACTCTAAAGAAAAAAAATCCTTATCTCCATGAAAAGAAAACCCTTTTTAATTTCTGTAAATGTCCTAACAGAAGAAGTGGTGAGTATTTGCCTCATTTTAAAATGAACATTAAAGATGAAAAAAAAAAGAGTAAAATATAGGATGAAAATAACCCACCCACGCTCGATGTGAAGGTTCGTATCTTTCAGAGCCTCATCGGAATCCGACACCGGAAGCGGGGAACAGCCGCATACGGCGGCGAAGAAACTTTGAGAATAAACAGAATTCGAGCTTCACATGGAATCGCTCCAAACGGTACCTCCACCTTCTCATCTCTCACCCGCCGCACTCTCCTTCCTCGACCACAGATTCCAAACCCAGTGCGCCCTTGCCGATGCTCCCAACTTCGACTCCGAGCTCCAGACTCAGTGCGCCGAGTTGGATCGGGAGCTCGACGAATTAACTCGGAGGCTGGGAGTGGGTCTCGCCGCGTACGCCTCTTTCTCCGGTGAAATCCACGGCCTCTTCGGCCACGTCACCGATAGGCTGACTTCCCTCTCCTCCACTATCGTGCCAGGTTTGATTCGATTTTTTTTTTTTTTTTTTGCCTTTTTAGGTTATCTTTCTGCATTCAATTTTGAGGAATTGTTTTGGTTTTATTGAATGAAGATGGAGGAAGACGCGAAGGGGATGGCAAGGGTTTCAGGGAGGAACTTGCGACTTTGGCGAAGGAAGTGGCTAGGTTGGAGACGGTTCGTGTCTATGCAGGTTGTTTTTTTTTTTTGTTTTTTTTTCTTTTCTTTTTCAATTGTACAAAAGGAAGAATTTTGATTAGATGGTTCAGTTTTTGGTCGATTGTTGTGATGTGGGTTAGTTGTAATTATCTTGAATGTTTGGTTAGAATTGAAGTCTTAGGTATTACCTATTATTTTGATCAGTGCTATTAGTTCTTAAAACTGCATTTGTCTTCAAACAAACGGTACTTCAACTTTATACTTTCTGTGCAAATCAATGAACATTGTTGGACTAGGAGGAATTGAAAGATGGTGATTTATCAAGAAGTGTGTTTAGCCTTTGCAGTAATGGTTATCTACTTTGGTTTGATTTCCTAGGTTTTGCTTTCTTTTTATCCTCTATGTCTTTCTCGAGACAAAATTGAAGCATTATGCTTTTAGCCTGTTTGAACGAGCTTCTCCACAAGAATTTTTAGAAGAGTAAAATAGGAAAAACAAAAAAATTGACTTTCCCATAAATTAAAAATTAGTTTACGCCTAAGCTAATGTGTATGAGTTAAATTTAGCTTATGGAGAAGCCAATTTCAGTGGTTTTTTATGATTTGGATTTTCTGTGATTATGAAGAAATATTATTCTTTTAAGTAATTGCTATCATACATACTGCATTTGGATCAAGTTCTTAGGTGTTACCTTTTGTGAATGTTGTTTGTTTTTGTCTTCCAGAGACAGCACTGAAACTTGATAGTTTGGTTGGTGATATTGAGGATGGTGTATCATTTACCATGAGCAAAAGCATGAGGAAACATTCTTCTAGTCAAAATTCACAAGTGAGCATGTTTTCATAATATTAACCAGATGATAGTCGAAACTATAGCATCAATTCCTTAACGTATCTCAAATGTTTCAGGAAATGCATATGCTTGCCATTAAAACAATGAAAACAACTGAAGACATATTAGCTTCAATGACAAAAGAACATCCGCAGTGGAAGCATCTTGTATCAGCTGTTGATCACAGAGTGGACCGAGCTCTTGCTATTTTGAGGCCCCAGGCAATTGCTGAGCATCGAGCACTTCTTACTTCACTTGGATGGCCCCCACCGCTTTCGGCCTTTGCCTCCTCAAATTCAGATGCAAGGACTGCTAATCAAGTCTTGAATCCTCTGCTGAGCATACGGGCAGATCTTAAACTCAGGTACTCTAAAAACTTTATTGCTTTGTGCAACCTACAAGAGTTGCAAAGGAAAAGGAAAGCTAGGCAACTTGCGGGCCATGACAGGGAAGTTGCCCTACGACAACCACTTTGGGTAATAGAAGAGCTTGTGAATCCCTTATCATTAGCTTCCCAACGGCATTTCTCAAAATGGATCGATGAACCAGAATTTATTTTTATTCTTGTATATAAAATCACAAGGGATTATGTTGACTCTATGGATGAATTGTTGCAGCCATTGGTTGATGAAGCCAAGTTATTTGGTTATAGTTGTAGAGAAGAATGGATCTCAGCAATGGTAACCTCCTTAACCACCTACATGGCGAAAGAAATTTTCCCTAGTTATATTAGTCAACTAGATGAAGAGAGTGTGACGGGGATTCAGTCATCTGCTAGAATATCATGGCTACATCTCATTGACTTGATGATAGCTTTTGACAAAAGGATTAAGTCTTTGGTAGAGAATTCTGGGATCTTGCTATCCTTTGACGATGATGATATCATGCAGAAAATTTCATCTCTATCCATATTTTGTGATCGTCCAGACTGGCTTGATCTATGGGCTGAAAAAGAGCTAGGTGATGCCTTAGATAAGTTGAAACCAGACATCCAAAATGAGAACAATTGGATAAAGAAAGTTGAAGGGGCCCTTCTTTCGTCCTGTACTGATGATCACAAGTCTCCTCTGATTTCAAATTTTTTTCTTCGCCATCTGGCATCTGTTATTGATCGTTGTCGATCATTGCCTAGTGTTAGTCTGAGGTCAAAATTTCTCAGGTTAGCAGGTCTTCCGATTATAAGAAATTTTTTTGACTCCATACTTATCCGCTGCCAAGAAGCTGAAGGTTTGACAGCCTTAACTGATGATGATGCTGTATTAAAGGTTTCAATTTCTATCAATGCTGCTCATTACTTCGAATCTGTTCTAAAGGAATGGTCTGAGGATGGCTTCTTCCTTGAGATGGGGATGAACGAGGATGATGAAGTGGAAACCGAAAGTAATGCTAATATTTATGGTGGAGTGTTGCCAGAGAGTTCCAGAAGGGTTATTTTTGATGATGAGATCAAAAAGTTGGAAGAGTTCAGATCAGAGTGGGTTGAAAAGATATCTCTAGTTATTTTGAGAGGTTTTGATGCTCATTCTCGAGATTATGTGAAGAACAAGAAGCACTGGCAAAAGGGTGAAGAAGGATGGACTGTGTCGAAGGATCTAGTAGAAGCCCTGAATTATCTGCAAAGTAAAACTTCGGTGGTAGAAGTGGGTTTGAATGGTAGGGATTTCGTTGGGGTTTGGACAAGTTTGGCAGCAGGAATTGATCGGTTGATTTTCAATGGTATTCTTGTGAGCCATGTAAAATTTCACAGGAGTGGGGTTGACAGATTTGATAGTGACATGGATGTTATATTTGGGGTATTTGGGGCATGGAGTTTGAGACCTGAAGGTTTTTTCCCTAAAACAAGTGAAGGTCAGAAGTTGTTGAAGTTGGATGAAAATAGAGTGCAAGAATGCAAGACAGGGGGGAAGAATTGGTTGAAAGAGAATGGGTTCACAGATTTGAGTGTAACAGAAGCCGAAAAGATTTTGAAGAATAGGGTGTTCACAAGTTGAACATTCACTGCTGAAATTGCATATGGACGTGTGAACATTTAGGATTGTTTCGTGGTGTACATTACTTTAAACCGACCATTTGTACTAATTCAATTTTGCTTAAGTTGCAATAAATATATTTTTCATTTTGAATGTTCTCAGGCATTGCCTTTTTAATACTTCATATTTCTAAATGATAATTATACTGTAAATGAGCACTGAGGAAAACTATTCTTTCTCTAACAGTTTATCATTTCAACTGCTGGCTTTTTAATTTTTAAATGAACAATGACAGTGTAAATGAATAGCAGCACTTTTTATGCATCTCTCATTCCTGAGTTTATCTTCTGCCAATGGCTACTGACTGTCATTTCTTCTGGTGATATCATTGAACATGCATGGAAGTTTTAGAATCATTTTGGAACTGAAAGAAATTAGGATTTTAGGTCTATTTTTTTCCTAAGTTTAGTTACTAATTAACGATGGTGATGAAAGAAAGTTATCATGTTTGCAAAGTTATTTTCAGTTTTTTTTTTTCTTAAGGATTTTGAGATATTTTCCAATTTTATCCTTATTTCATTATTATTCAAAACAAATAATTTAAATTTATTCAAAAGTTATTTCTTACTCTTTTTCTTTTAAAATAAAATCCCTACTAATACTAATTTACTTTGTTACTTGAAAAATCTTTTTTCCTTCCTTTATTATAATCGTTTTTTTAAGTCCATTTATTTTTTTTAATTTTTAAATGAATAAGATAACTATATTTGTGTTTCTTTTTCTGCATTTTTAAATTTTTTAAGTTGTTTTAATAGAGTAGTCCGATCTTGGTTTTTTTTTCTCTCCTTCTCAATTCAAATTAAATATGGGCATTTGGGCCTTTTTGTTACAAATAAAGTTTTTTCTTTATCTTTCTTATTTTATTATTCATTTTTTCTTTTGTCTTCTTCTTTCTCCACGATAATTAGAATGACCTCCCAGCAATTCTCTGTTGCATTTTCTGCAATTTTATCTTGTTTTCGAGACTGATTGTCCTCTTGCTTATTCAAAGATACAAATCCCCGAATCAAAGATGAGAACTTGTACAAATTACTTATTCAATTAACCAAAACTTTTCCTTATAATCTCAAGCAAAATTGGGCATTTTCAGTAAGAAGGAAAAAAACAAGATAGAAATGAAGAGATTTCTTGAGAAGAAATTCTGGGCTAGAAGAAGAAAGTTGCCGATACAAAGAAAAGTAAAAGGCAATCGAAAATCCTTTCTGTAAGCTCAATCATAGGTTATTGTATATTGCTGTAAAATTTTGCTGATTAATTATATCACATGTTGCAAAATCTCTTATTTAAATATTATATTAATGATAAATATAAGTCAATTACATGAGAAAATAAATAGGTAATTATGGACAGTATAAATTGATTTGTTCTATATAATATGGAGTACTTATCTATACATTAAAAAAAATGGCTAATTTTAATTTTATTTCAGGCAATGAATGTGGCACATTAATATATTTTAAAATACAATTCTTACATTGTAAGATATTTTTATACGAACTTGAAGTACAACTTAGGCTTGTTTGATAATGAGTTAAACATCTTCAACTCAAAAATATAGAATTTGTTAGTGATAACATACCTGAGACACGTGCTACTTGCCCTCATCATCCAAAAATGAAGATAATGAGTTAAACATCTTCAACTCAATTCTATTGTTTTCACGAATTTTCAAGTAAAACCCCTAAAACCTTTCACTTCATATTTCTCTTTTTCCTGTTGTAGTATGTTGTGATTTCTTTAAGAAAAAAAACTTTGGTGTTGATGTTCTTTCTCATAGCATTTGTGTTTTCTTGATTTTAGCCTTTACATTTCTTCAAGTTACTCCTGGGTTAGAAGTCTGTCCTTTGTTTCTTGTTTTTGGTTGAACCTAGGATACGATAATGGAATATAATGCTCTATAACCTTGGGTTAAAGCAGAGATTTTTCATGAAACCTTTGTTGAGAAATCTATTAACCAGTGATACAAGATATTAGTGAGTACCATTTTTATTAACCGTTTTTATAAAATTAAATTAGGTATTTTATATTTTTGAAATTAACTACCATGCACTATACTTAACTCATTATCATTATTGTGTCCTATTCTTATTATAATAATTATTCTATTACAATAATCATAACATACATTGTTATTATTTAATTCTATTTCGTCGTCATGTATATATGTGTAGTGATAACACAACTATCATGGTATTAGTTGTTAGGTAAATAATGACTATGATACGTAGGTGATGTTACTAAAAATAAAATTTAATTTTGTAGACTTACGTGTGAGGCTTTGCTTGTTATAAAGTTTTATTTTGTAAAAAATCACACATATATCACTTTTACTTGTTTTGACATAAAACTAATAAATTTTTTAACAATAATAATTAAAAGTTTAACAGAATCGTTAATAAAAAAAATATTTATTTTTATTATTGTATAAATATTAAAAAAAACTATTTTATCAGCTGTGATTAATGGTATCTAAGAAATAATAACAAAAAATGGAAAAAATTGTCACAGTCAAGAAATTAAAATGTGCAAAATTAAAGAACAAGAATGATAAATATTGTCAAGATCAAGGAATTAAATTGCAAAAAAATTCAAGTGCAATGAAGATTGTAAAGTTCAAGAAATTAAATTCCACAAAATCAATGTTCAACATTTCCACATTCAAGATGGACGATGGACATAATAATATTACCAAATTCTAGATACACGTGCGTGATATGAATTCAAGTTATAAACATTTCTTTTAGAGATGCGCGTATTAATGTAATCATTCTCACGTATAAAAATAAATATATAATTAAGAAGGGAGATAAGAAAATTGATAAATATATAATGCCAATAATATGGTTAATATATATATATATATATATATATATATATATATAATATTTTATTTGATGAAGAGAGACAACACTTTAATACAAGAAAAGAAAATTGATAATATGACACTTTTCAAAGAGATAAAAAAAATCTAACATATTCATGAAAAATTAATAATAGCCTATTAAAAAGAGTGAGTGTAAACCCAAGAGAATAATTAATATTCATATATTCAGGAAGAAAAAATGTATTTACTTTATACTATTTAAATGTATGAGTTTTCATATAAATGTAAATATTTTAAAATTTAGATTTAGTCTTTATTTTCGTTTTCTTTTTATTTATAAAAGGACATTATTCATGTGTAATAATATTTTTGTTAAATTTTAAAAAATATAATTTCACATATTTTGTAATTTAAATTACTCTTATTTTATTTTGCAAACAGTTTTGCAAAAATGTTAAAAAATAAATATTAGTGTGTACGTAAAAATATAGGTTAAAAATTAAACACTAATTGTGTAAAAAAAAATAGATATTATAATCAATTTATTAATATTTATAAAAAATAATAGATAATATAAATCATTATTGATTGATTATGTAAAACAATTATACACTATTGCTGATAGTTTGTGAAATTAAGAGAGAGAGAGAGAGGAGAAAAAGTAAGGTCTTCAGCTAGTGTCTGCTTAGACTTTAGCACCTCATGTTGTGTGGACACTGCTGCTATTCTCTCTGACATTGTCATCCTCTATTTCTATAACTTGCTGCTTCACAGTTTCTTACTGTTTACTGATATGGAAACTTGAGAGCAGAGGGAATATGTCGTTTCCCAATCTTCATTTATTGAAAAACAAGTGGACAGTAGGAAACAGCCATAACGAATTGATTAAAAGGTCATAATAGATCAATGGATCCACACCTATGCCCTAGTAGCTAGGAGAAGATCCATGGAGAGACATGGGAGTATTTGGCAGTTATGCAGATTTTGTCGTCAATTTAGATGTTATATTTAGGTTATAGTTTTTGAGCCATAGCTTTCTCGCTTGTAGCAAGTGAATTAGTTAACTGTTGAAGATAGATGAAAGCATATTTTGAAGGGTAGCTAGTTAGGGTTTGGAACTGTGGATCGGGCCAACCACAGTGTTGGATTAATATTTGACTGGTTGAGAGAGAATTGGTTGGCACTATGATATCTTTGAATCTGAAGGTGAAAAATATGTATTTTGAAGGGTAGGGTGTGGACGAAATTGAGATTTGGCACTCAAACAAAGAGGTATGCATTATTGTAGACCCTATATTCAGTTTTGGCAAATTACTACAAAATCTATTTTTATTTATAATATTGTCTGATAGTTTCTTTGAAAAGGTCAAATCCATTTATAATATATACTGCATGCACCATCCTGAGTATGAATTCTATGCTTATGTGATTCACTACTCATTTTTTGCAATCTATTTCTTGTAATGAGTTGTTTTGAAACTGATAACACTGTTCGTTTTCTCACAAAAACCTTTAAAAATTATTATGGATCTGTGACCAGTCATTTTCTGGTTAACTATTGGGTCATTATTTGATGGCATACTAAGACTATAGAAAACGCAAGTCTTGGTTGATATTCTGATACATAGTTTCTCAAATAACCCAAATTTTACTGTTTAGGCTTATTGTTCAGTTTGAAGAATGATATATTTACAATTCATACATTCAATCTACGACTATAAATAATAATATAACAATAAATTAATAAACTAGTTGTATGAAGAATATTTACCACTGGTTGTCAAAGTAACATTTCTGTATCAAGAATTGGACTATTTATAATTGGGTCATTTTTTAGACTAATAGTAATCACTTAAGTTTTATAAAGGTTAATTTCTATACAAGGTGCATGATTAGGTGATGTAGGAATATAAAATATGTATCACGGTCTCTTGTTGCTTACTGATACATGTTTCCCCGATTTCATTCATTGAAGGCATGTGAACAGAAGAAAACAGCTTCAAACAGAATGATCAAACATGATGGATCCACTGTTAGCATTGTGTCTGGAAAATTAGCCCAAAACATCCACGTGAGATATAATACCATACATCCTACGCACTACACCCTAGGAGGAAAATTTTGGTCCAATCATATGTTTAGCTTCTAGCATTGGGATGATGTGTTACAGTATAATGCTACATTTACAAACGTGTATGGTAAGTGGTACCAACCTAGTGAGATTAGAGTATAGAGTATATGGATGGGTCTACAATGGGGTGCATGTATTTCTTTGTCATGCATGCACTATACAAGTTTTGGTCAGTGTGATTCCACTCACAAATAGTAAATGAAGAGAGGTTTTAAACGTTGTTCTTGACTAATAACATTACTGTTTCGATCAATTCCCTTTCCGTCTTTCTAGTACACACCATCCACCAGAGTGCATGTGATTCTTGCAATCAGAACCTTCTGCGATTCACCTTTTCTTTCTGTGAAATATACAACTTCAACTTGGTACTCGAAGCTTGTAGTTACTTTTACCTAATCACAAGACTAAGCAATGACTCATAACTTGTGATTATTATGACATCCAGATTTTGCCTATGTAACAGATGAGATGAACTTGGTATATTTTTAACTTAATATTTTCCAGAAACTTAGATTTAACGTCAATTATGCACACGGGGAGCGGCGAAGAACATGTCCATTACGAGAAATTTGAATCAATCTTTATTCGACACGTAATTAATTAAATATTCCTATGTTTATTTAGCTGATGTCTTGAATATTAGTAAACATTTGGCTATGTTTATTTAGTGCCTTCAATTTTCTCACAAATATGTTTTTATAATTAGGAATACAACTGGAGCAAAGCATAATAAATGTCACCGACCAGCTCGAAAATGTAACAAATTATAATGTCCTAATGTTTAATTATAAACTGTGTTTCTTAATATGTTATTAGCTTTCATTTTTTTTTTTTTGTTAATATTTTTACTTACCTTTTTTGGCTGTTTCTCTCTTTCTCTCTCAATCAGGTATGTTTTTGTTGAGACTCTTGCATGTCCTTGTCAACAGGTTTAAATCATCTCAGAGTGTTAACCACGACTTCAATGGCTTCATTCTTAATTAGTTTTATCTAATATTTTATTACGTCTATTTAATTAACATATATCACATTTTCATCTATGATCTATCAAGTTTATTTTTCTTTTTAGTTTTTTTTTTACTTGTTAACATGATAGTTTATACTTTTATAAATCGCAAGTCCTATAATTGTGTGGTAAAATTTTCTTTTTAAGTTAGAGTGATATCTTTCTGTTACCATGATACACTATGCTGTTTCCCTTATAAGCCAAACAAGTATTAGAAGCGTTTACTTGATTTTTTTTTTTTACTTTTTAATTGCAAATGATTTTTTTTACTCTTTAATTACAAAATATTGCTTGTTTTCAACCTATTTTAAATATCTGTACAGAAGAAAAAAATTAAAAAAGAAAACAGAAAATAAATAAAAAATTACAAAAAAGATCTCTTTCGGATCGATAGAGTCAATTATTAATATATTAGGATGCTAAATTTTATTTTTAAAAATTGATATATGACCATATTTTTTTAATGTACTGTTAAAACGGACTCTGAATTTAGAAAAACAAATTATGTTTTTTATATTTTAAAATACATCATAATTTTTTATTTAGTTTATCCTATGTTAGGTTAGAGAGATAGCAATCCAATTTTAACTTGATTGAAAATAAATAATAATAATTTAAAAAATTAAATAAAAATTAAACATGAAAAATATATTTTTAAAAAATAATTTATATTAATAAAATTAATCTTTATTTTTTATCTGATAATTTAATATATAAATTATAAAATAAAAATTCATTAACTTTAAAATAAGAATCGAATACTTATTTTTTATTATTATATATTTTTTATATAATAATTTAAAATAATAATTTATATTAACCATTAAATTCTAGAATAAACAAGTATTAAAGATTTCTTCTTATATAAATATTTTTAATTAACTAATATTATTTTTATTTAAAAAATAGTATTATTTTATAAAACAGATTAATTTAAAAATCTATGGTCTATCTTCATTTAAGTTTGACCTAAATGGTAGGAGCCAGTATAAATAGGAGATGTTTAGTACTGTTGACTTAAATAAGCTAATTCCTGTAGGGTTGAAAATCCATAAATACTTAATTGATTAATTAAGTTGTGATGAATATACTCTTTAAAATTTATACTTAGGTATTAAAGGACATATTCAATTTAGCAATTCATATGTCTTTTAAAAATAACTCATATTGTAAATTTTCTTAATAAAATTTTAAAAATTTATTCTTTCTTTTATTCTCTTTCCTTATTTACTTCTTTTATTTATCTTTAGGAGAGTATTTTTAATAAGAATTATTTATAAAAATGATTAAATAAAATACTAATTGATTGAAATAATTTTTTATTTGAAATTAAAAAAAAATTAAACAGCTTATTATATTACATAGAATTCTTCTACTAGCAATTTATTTTAGTCAACTATTATTTTAGTTAATCATATATGTAAACAACTTCGATTAAAACGTTCTTCCTATACATGCAAGCTTCAAATTTTATATTTACTTCCTTTCTTAGTTGATTAACTAAAACTACATTATCGATATCAACAAAAATTTGGATAGCGTTGATGTTGCTAATAAATAATTAACTTATTATTCTTTTAAATATAAACTGGTTTGTGGCACGGAGATTAATTAGTTATTTATTTTAAAATGACACTGTTGATGTCATGGAGTGTGAGTTTAGAGTAGTTGAGAAAATAACTTATATTAATAAATATATAAAATAATTAAGTTTTATGTTTGGACATGGTAGGTATACAATAATTTTCAAATTATTGGTTATAATCTAATAGTTTTTTTTTCACAGGCTTTATTTGATTTGTCTAAAAAATCATTTTGTAGTACAATTAAAAAAAGAATCGAATTGGTTGTATAATTTATTTTATATCTGAGTTAATTAATTATTGTGAATAAAAAAGTTATTTAATTTGTTAAGATCATAAAAAAGTTACTAATTATAATCAAAATTAAGAAATACATTTCAGTAATAAGATTCATGACTTAAAGCCAATACTGTGCAAATCGTTCCTATATTATATATAAATAAATCTTCACCATTGAGTCAGGGTATTTTTTAAAATAAAAAATGAATAAAAAAAGTACTATGCTTTTTTATCAAGTTTATATATATATATTATGACTTACAATTGATTTTTTTTTATAAAACTGGTAATATTTCTCTTTGATTTTGCTCAGAACTAAAATACGTACTACTACAGCATTATGATCACATACAAATATATACTCTGTTGGTTATGTGATGAGAGGGTAATGTAGGTTTGAATTCCACAAACAATAGTTGAATAGTTGCTACCGCAAATTTAGGGCAAAATTGGAGGTTTGGTAAATGATGCCAAAACTCCAATTATTGGTTTTGTCTTTCCCATTTCCATCACCTCAACTTCCTCTTCCAGGTTGTCGTCTTCATACACTGTTCTCTTCTGCATAGTTTAGTCATTCATCTTGTTGTACATGCTTCGTCACATCAACACTTATCCTCACACCAACAACAACAAAAAGGAAAATACAAAACAGAAAGGGGACATGATGGAAGAACTTAGCACACTCTAGATTATGTATCTCCATTACACTTTCTCCTCCTTTCTCCGTTCAACTTTCTCATCACATAACGGAGGAAAATGCCTCCATCCACGCAACAATTTTATAGTGGTCCCAATTTCTACACTCTCCCATGTGAACAATGTGAATGAACGTTCCATTCCATTACCCAAAGGAGTGAGTCTTCAAAAATTAAGAGGAACCCAAATGATCAGGAGTGAGTCTTCAACAGATAATTATTTCTCCTGCTTGTTCTCTCTCTGTCTAGCTATCTTCTGACAATTCTATTACTTTTCTTTATTTCTATTCTCACTAACTCTAGAAATTAAGATTTCATCAAAACTGGCTACCTCGTGACTTAAATAGTAGTCAAGTTTTAAGCTAAAGACAGAGAGTTTCTTCGTTGTTCCATTGTTATTTAACACGCCGAACGTTCGCCATGTATTTCTTTAAAATCATTCTTTAATCTCTAAAATTCTTATACCCTAGATTGGATCAGATTTTGGTGGCACAACAAGCAAATCCAAAGAGAAAATTATACATTAGGGAGAATGAAGGTGAACCAACTGACAACGAAGTATGTATTTAACAACCAATCGGCTAAAGAAACTATACACGTACGCACCAAACCTTAATTTTATCACAAAACAAAATAAGATAGTGTTTGGTCAGAGAACAGGAAGTTGTATTTATATTATATTAATATTCTCATTGTTATTGAAAGAAAAAGGAAAGAGGAAAAAAATAAAATAAAGGGCTAAGCCAAAAATCTTTCCTTTTCACTTCAATGTTAGTATATTTAAATTATAGAAAGACGAAAAATAATTTATAAAAGTAGGGTTACATTTTCCCTTCCTTGTCATTTTCTCTATTAATTAATATATTTACAACAATATATATTATTTTTATTTGACTTCCTTTTCCTTATTCTCTTATCAAATTAAGTAAAGAGATTCTATCCTTCGTCCCTTCCTTTTCTCTCAACATCAACACCATTGTTATGTAATATTTTTACCATTTTAATAGTCACAATGCAACACCAACCACAGCTCAGAATCTTGGTGCTCTTACACCTATAATAACAAAACTCTTTCAAGTCTAATTTACACAAAAATAATATTAAGGTTGTCTTACGGATACATGCACCATGAAATAAAATAAGTAATAAAATCTCTTGACACAAAATTATAAGGGTTTGTTAGGCTCTACGTCAGTAATTAAATTGCACAGCAACTGTGGGCCATGCCTGTACCGCTGAAATGTGTGATAAAGAAGACTTGATTCAAACCACTCAAATATCAAGAATGCAATTACAATATGACTTAAATATGTTTTTACATTTTATAATATATCCATTTTAGTTTTTATGATTTAGGTATTTATAAATTTACTGTACGGTTTTCATATTTGTCATCTTTTAACTGATACCATGTCAATCACCTATTGTAAAAATTGACTTGATGTTTCTTATATTGTAAAGATTAAAATACATATATTTTAGTGTAAGATATACTATAAAGAATAAAAAACGTATTAAATTCACCTTTTTTTTCTGTTTGTCTTTATTTATCTTTCGCACTGCATCACTGATAATTTTATTTTTCTTTTCTCTTTCTTATCTTTGACTAGATGTATACATGCATTCATGTTGTAAGTATCAATCATTTTCCTGATTAATGTAGGTGGAGAGTGGTCTTGTTCCAATTAATCAGAGCATTGAAGAAGCTTGATGGGAATTGGAAGTACCTCTCACCCTCTATTTAAGAGCCTCCTTGTGCCAGATTCCCAACACACATGTCAAGCAAGGGCTAAAAGTGAGGACGAGAAAGCAATAAAACATCGAGAGCTGTAGCTACAACATAGTCATGTCGGGGCAGAGAAGGTCAAGGGCATCAAAGTTCTCTCAGAATGAGATTAGTGACCTTGTTTCTAGGTTACAAGGACTTCTTCCACAACTCAACCAAAGACCCAACTCAAGGGTATGTCCTCCTCCAACTTCACTTCTACTCCATTTCTTTTTTTTTTTCTTTTCATACAACAGTCACACTGACTGAGGATGTTACTGCTACTGAGTTATTCATGTCTCTCTACTAGTAAAGGCATATTTATGCTACTGTTTATTTTACTGTAAAGTTTAATTAAATTAATATTAATTAAAGGTTTTTCTCTTAAAAAAAAGGTTTAATATAAATGTTTCAATCATTGTGATAGAAGTTTGTGCATCGTTTTGGTTGGTTTGGATGGTATGATGTTGTTGACTTCAACGCCTGAGATTTCTGTGTTCAGACTCTCATATCTTGATTTTAACTTGGCGATTGGACATTATTAACCATCATGGGTAAACTAAACTTATTTAGAAACTAGAATTAGTTTATTTGTGTTAAACATAATATTTAAAGAAAGTTAATGATACCATCAAACTTTTAAAAATTACTGTGACTTGTCTATATTTTTAGGAGAAACTGTTTTTTTTTTTACTCATTATATGTAATTACGTAAGCAACTCTATTTTATGCCAAGTCAGAGTCTTAAGTTGTCACTTAATCTTTAAACTAAACAAAAATACTATATTTTTAATTTTTTTACATGAGTTTAATGGTTATGAAGTTAATCTAATAACAAATTACCGTTGATGTGATTTTAAGATAATTTTTCAATTTCTTAACTATTTGCTGTGATGCTATGGCGTAGCCTTTATACTCGTGTTGACTGTCGTCTCTAAAAATTAAAATAATATATGTAGAAACTAGAACGGAGGATTTTATGTACAAAAATTAAAAGAAAATTTAAATATTTTAAAAAACTAAACAAGTAATTAGAATAATTTAACGGGTTAATGTAAGTTAAGTACCCTGCGTGATTACTATATATATTCAAAATAGATTGGTTTTAACCATAACTATTATTAATATTATATCTAAAATAATTTTAATAGAATAACGATATTAAGTATTAAACTTGTGTATAAACCATTTTGTTATTATGACCGAATGTAAAGCCTAAAAACATATTTATATCTTTAAAAAGAAATTAGTACAATATAATAACTACATAAATTTTTTCAGAGTGTTAAACTCACATAAATTAAATTGAATTTTATTTATGATTAAATAAATTTAATTTGATCTCATTCAATTACTTACAAATTGATGATGGGTTTACATGTTAAACACGAAATTCAATTGAACTTTATCAATCAAAATTATTTAATAATATTAATATTAATATAAATAATGATATAATTATAATTTAATTTATTTAATTATTATATTAATTAATTATAAATTTTGGAATATTAAATTATTTAAATATTAATGATATTTTTTTTAATTATTCTTATGATTATAAATTTTTAGAAGAATTTGTGAACCATTAGATAAAAAAAATACAAAAATCTAGTTCATTCTAACTTGATATTTTGTGTGGAGTTAGATGATAAATTTGTCAAAATCATCTCTGATTAAATCCAACTCATGAACATGTATATATATTCTTAGAAAAAAAAACATATATTCTTGTTGTATTATGATATAATTATTGATTTTTATAATAATTAGTAAAAGTTGCATTTAAAATAATTTTCTGCTTGATTTTATACTTATAATATATCAAATCAAACCATAATAAAAAACAAATCTCAATACACTCATTAAACAATAACGTAGTTACATTACTGAAAATACAAAATAAACCCTAAGATTTTAGTCACCTAAGTAATTTCAAAATTATACGTAATTGAGACATATGAAGATTAAAGTAACTTTATTTTGAACTGGTGCTTGAATTCAGTGATAGAAAACACTAATAAGAAGTGTATGTGTGGTTTTGTTGTGCAGCAATCAGCGTCCAAGATATTGCAAGAAACCTGCTGTCACATTAGGAGATTACAGGAAGAAGTGGAACAACTCAGTGAGAGACTATCAGAACTCATGGATTCTTTGGATATCAATGAAATTGATAGACAAATTTTACAAAACTTGTTGCAACAATATTAATAAATGCTTCCTTTTCTACAGTTAAAACCTTGTCTTTCTTATGTTTATTCCCAGTCTAGGTTGTAATGGAGGCTTCCTATGCTTACAATAATACACATATCATCTTGTTTGAATAAATTGTTTTGCCTTAGTTCATGTGTGGAATGACACTTGTAACTTTGAATAAATGAAATGTATTTGAATGTTGAAAAACACAAGAAAATCGACTTAAATGTTGAATAAAGAATTATAAATCATCTTAACTTTACTTTCTGTATAATCGCCCAGTGGAATTAAAATCTAAGTCTTGATCAACTCTAATGAATCGCAGTTATCTTAATTTATCTCCATAACATTTTTTTTTACTCTGACTAAGCTTTGTTCCTTCTACCAATTCTTTGGAGAGTAAGAAAGATTTCAATGCCAGAAATAACTTTATAGAGTAATGACATCAATTTATTTATTTTATGAAATCAATATTCTTCTAATAAAAAATTATATTCAAATCTAATAAATTTAATACATAGATTATTTAATGATAATTTGCCTATAAAATTAGCTAAGTATGTTATCGATATATTTCATATGTTCAACAATTTTCAATATAAAAAATTTAGCTTACATTACTGTTATTATAATTATTCAGAATAACTATTACTAAAAGAGAATATAAGAATTATAGTATCTCATACAAGTTTAAACAAAAAACTCAGAATCATAAATCAATATATATATATATATATATATATATATATATATATAAGTTTTCATCTATAATTAAAAAATAAATTATCTTTCCTTCTTTACCACAATATTGTATACCTAGCTATATTTTCATTTTTTTTTTCCTTTCTTTTTGTTTATCTTAACCTAGTTGTATACACGGGCATGCGTGTTCTGCATCCAATTAATCATAACCTTCTCATCCGTGATTAACCCTTCTAGGTTTTCCCTCAACACCCCCAAGCAAACCCCAGAAGTGGCACAAGGGAACATACTCATGGTAGGCAAGAAAATGTCAAGTGCTTCAAAGTTTACTATAAGAATGAGATCAACCATCTTCCTTCCAAATTACAAGTTCTGCTTCCACCACTGAACCAAAGCAACTCAAAGGTATGACCTCCTCCTAGTTACATTTTTGTAATGGCTGATTTCATTACTATCTCTCTATCTATTTATATCTATCTATCTATCTATCTATCTATATATCTATATATATATATATATATATATATATATATATATATATATATATATATATATATATATATATATATATATATATATATATATATATATTCATGCTTCTTGGTGTTGCCCAGGGTGAGTGTAATTGGGTGGAGATATTATGTTCTTTATTTAATAGATAATCAGTTATATATGTAAGTAACCCAATTTTATTTTAAGTATTTGTATGCTGTGATTTAGCATTTTATTAAAAAATATTGATTTATTTCATCGTTATTTTTTTATAAATAAATTAATTTTTGATTTAATTTCTAAAAAAATAAATTATTTCTATCTTTCTTTTCCTCTTTTATAGACATGTGTTATAAATTTTTATAAACAAGAAAAAAAAACATAAAATCACACTATTTTTACAATTTATAAGATTCAATTTACCTAATTCATTAAGTTAAAGAAAATGTAAAGATACATTTCTCTATATTTTTATATATAAAACCACACAGACACAACAAGAATAAGAAAGGAACAAGAAAAGGAAGTGTAGTTTAAAAAATATTCGTGTACCCGTTTATGCAAGAGACATTGGTGTTATTAGATTTGAAAAGAAAAAAAAATCTATAACGTTGAATAACTTCATATAAATAATATTACACTGGTTTGTATGCTAGACTTTGTTCAAATTAAAACCTTCATAAAATTAAAACCTTGATAAAAGAGTGAGAAGTGATGATACCAAGTATTTTTGTTAAATACTTTTAAAATAGTTAAACTTATTATTAACTAAATATAAGATGTTTTCTTTTTCATATGTAGTTTTATGAGGGTTAGACATTATTCTATTAAAAAAAGAATTGTCTATCTTTTACGGCTCATTTATGAATGTATAAACTATATCTTTTAATAAATAAATAATTATTTTTAATTGTGATTAAATAAAAAAATATTTAACCTTTTTTAGGAAAAACTCTAAGTAGAATGTATAATATATAAATGTTTTTAATCACCTTTCAATTATGATAAAAATGTTAACTTTTGTAATAACTATAATTTATCTATTACAATGGTAATATACGAAAAGTAAATCCTAAATAAAAAAATGTAAAGAAAAATTATTATATCTAAGCTTTGAATGAAAATAAAACGTTAATATAATGTTTGAATTATAACTCATATTTTTATACAAATATTTTTATAAATTATTAATATATTTCTTAATTAGTTCGTTATTTATTTCTTTATTATGTAATTTTCAAATTTCCTCTATTTTATACCAAGTCAACATTTTTATGTTTTACTTTGTTATTACCATGAGATTGTAACAGTGATTGCAAGTAGGGTTAAAGAACTTGAAGGAATTCATTCATATTTTCTGCTTGCGAGGATAATGGCATGACTATAAGATATCCTTCGTGCCATATGGTTTAGAAATGTAAAATATTTTTCAATTCAAAAAATCAAAGATAGTTTGTCGATAATCAAATTTTTAAATTAAAAAATAAAATAAAATTCCCTTTTAAGACTTTGAAATTGGGCCACTTGAGCCCAAAGAAATCAAAGAAAAGACAAAATAATGATTTGTATATTGTCTAGTAAACCATAAAGTAAAAGAGAAATTTATTTTCTTTTTTTTATCATATATATATATATATATATATATATATATATATATATATATAGAGAGAGAGAGAGAGAGAGAGAGAATACATATGATGATATAAATAGATTTAATTAAAAAAAACAATACATAAATTAAGAGTAATTTAGTATTTTTAGTTCTTTTCTCTTTATTTCCAAATGAAACAAATATAAAACTGTTGCGTAACTTATTTCATTCGTTCTGTATTACACGAATACCTAATGAAGGAATAATTTAATTTTGATTTTCTTTTCGTCGATGCTAATATTTGTTTTTATATATTAAAGTTAAACACATTACGTTTACAGCAACTCACGCGTAATAAAAATTCCAAATATATAAAGGCTAAAACTTCTTATATTGTTTCTCTCTTTCTTTTCATTACCATACAAAGAAAAATTAGAGTATACAGTTTAATTTGGCCTACGTGAACCGTCTCAGAAAAATTAACGCCCTATTAATTTCATTTACTAAGCTATAATGAAAAATTATTGCGAGCCTATGTTCATTAAAGGTAAAATTAATTGACTAATTGTGGATTACGTGGAATCAAATTCAATATTATCCGTGGATATTCTAGAGTCTTTATCAACATAAAACCTTTTCCATATACTTTGTTTTTAAATAAATAAATATCTCTACAAATTGAAATTAACTTATTTATAACTGTGAAAATAATTTACTTTACAAATTTGTTTTATGATATGAGATTAAACACAATTGAAATTGAAGATTAAAAAATAATAATAAAAAAAATAACGGAAGGAAAACCATCAGAGAAGAAGAGTCAGAGCCTACAGCTGTCATAAACTGATGAGGTTAATATTTACTTCCAACATTTAATTGCATAAAATATTTATTAAATAATTCAGGATTTTGCACGTTTCATCTTAAACAACTCAAAATTAAATTAAATTTGCAACCTTAAATTAAGCTTGTACTTCAATTTTTAAATTAAATTAAAAAAAAACATCAGAAGTTGTTAGCATCAATAGTTTAGATATTTGGATTTCAGTCCAATTCCAACTAGAGGCACACAATATATATATATATATATATATATATATATATATATATATATATATATATATATATATATATATATATATATATATATATTATCATTAAAAAATTACATAACAATTATATAATAAATACATAATATTTATTATCTTTTAAAACATTAATTATTAATTGAAATATAATTAAACAAAAGGAATAATATTTTTTTATAACCACGATATTTAATTAACTTTTTTAAAAATAATTAGTCTCTGTTCAAAACTCCAACCGGTTTAATTAGAGGATATCTCTTCTTAATTTTTTTATCTACAAAATTCGAATATAAAATTTTGCTTAAGAAAATAAGATCTAATACCATTAAAATGAACTTGTAAATTCGTTTTATGTGTAAATGCATAGCTAATTTTCTGGAAGAAAAAATAGTGATATTGAATGATTATTATTGCAAGAGAAAACATAGGAAGCATGAAATGTGGATTTGCAGAATAGTTTTCCTCTTGAGAAAATGAGAGAAAGAAGTTGAGCTAGCGCCTGCACCTGGTAATGGCGCTGCAGCCTCGCTGGTAAGGGTTCTTCTCAGCGCCTGGCTGACAATTGTAGTAGGAGCCTTTGGCGCGAGAACAGGGCACAGTGTCCCTGTTAAGCACATTGTAGCTGATGTACCCGCTGCTCGCTAAAATGCGCCGGCTGATCTCGCTCTCCATCTCGACTTCCAACTCCTCTTCCACCGACGGCATCCACGTCATTTCCGTTCCCACTCCTCCTGCCTCCGCCGTTGTCGGCAACGAAGTGAGAATCCAAACGGTGGCGCAAATTCCGAGGACGAACCAGGAATAGCCGTAGTGTGGCATTGCTGGTGGAATTGAATGATCTTCTAAGTGTGTGAATTTGGAGTTCGCAGTTTCTTGGTTTGGTTCTGCAGAGTAACAGATAGCTTTTATATCTCTGACATTCTTTTCATAAAGAGAAAAACAACGTAGTTGTGAATTTTAAAGTGATTAACGCGTGAAGAAAATTATAAACTTTTTTATAAAAGGAAAATTCAAAATAAATTCTATCATATATTTTTTAAATCATATTTTTTAATTTTACTGAAAGTTTTAATATAAATTATTATTATTAAGATGAGTTTTTTTCTATTTCATTTTTTATTTTTAATAAATTTTAACCAATGATAAAATATGCATAAGAGAATATACGTTAAACTATTATTAAAAATGTATATATTTAAATGGTCTTGCCAACTATTCTTTTCTGTTTTTATTGTAAGCTTTAAAGTATGGATTATGATGGATTTTTTTTTCTAAAATAAATTATTAATTAATTTTTTAAATGAACATGATTGTGAGTTATTTATCTGACTTCAATAAATAATTAATGAAATGTAATCATGTCTTCATCAGGTAGAAAACCTTATCTTAACCGTTACATAGTCAATAAAGATTACAACATTGTATATTTTAATGATAAGAGATAGTAAAAGAATTAAAATAAATAATAATATTTGAAAAGTGAATAAAAAATTATTTATTAATAGTAAGAATAATAATTTTGAAAAATAAATATAGTTTAGGATAAATATAATGTGTATGTGGCCAACCAAATTAATTAAAATTTTTATACTAATAAATAAATAAATAATTGACTATTATTATAAGAATGGGAGGAACTGTTCTCATACAGAGAACGGATAAATCTAAAGCTTATTGTTACTGAAATTGTATTGAAAATAATGGAAGAGAGTATTGCTACACTTTCCAAAAGAAAATAGTTTAAACTTTTGCAACTACTGTTTAAAGAATAATACTTAGTAGTTTTATTTTAAAAATAAATAGATATTTATTAATGGTTTTCCATAAACAGTGATTAAAATTTTAACTTTATACTTTATAAAAAGTCAATGAATAATATAAATACAAAAATTCAATTCATATAGAGTTTTATTAAATAACATAAATATAAAGTTCAATTCCTCATTATCCATACATATATATTTGTAAGTAATAAATTTTAACTTCATAAAATTCATTATAAAATATTATTATATTGAATATATACAAAATATTAAACAATTTAAAACTGTATTAAAATTAATTTAAATGTTGCTACTTTATGCTATATTTTATAAAGAATAGTAATCTAACATAATAATATCTTAACACGTATATAACTTTACAGCAAGTACATTTTAATAAATAAAACACACACAAAATTTAATTAAATAATAATTATATTGAAATTAATTAATTAATAACACTAATACAATACATATATATATATATATATATATATATATATATATATATATATATAAGAAAAAGTAATAACGATTTCTAGGAATCGTTACGCCTAATCTGCAATACTATTTACATTAATAATAACATTTAAAAAGAGAGTACATTAAAAATATAAGAAATACTTATATTAAAATAAGAAAGGATGTGAATGTTATTAAATTTATAATTTCCTTTTTTAGAATATTTATAATGCAAATGATCAATTAATATAAGAACTTTTACAATGTTAACTCGAATTAAATTGTTTTTATTTAAACCATAAAATAAAATAAAAAATGTATAGGAAAAGCAAGAAGAACGTAATTAGTAAAAGATGACAACATTCTGATTTAAACAAATACACTACACAACCAAGTATTTGAGTAATACATTCTTTTTTATAACCCTCCCTTTTTGGCCATGTAATTATGGACAAATGACGCGTTTTACTGAACATAATGGAGGTGTAGCAAGTAGTGGACAGAGTCCATGGGAAGAGAGAATAGATTTAGTTTCCCTTGCAAAATTATGGGGAAGTATGCCTTTGAAGCAATATCTGGTATCAATTTGACAACAGTTCACATAAAATGTACAGTGTCCCCCCTCTGATGTCTAACTAGTGAGAAGACAAACAGCGGGTGTTGTTGCATGTGAAAACTCAATCAGTAGTACATCTATAAGAACGCGATAATAAGTGGAAAAAGAATGAAAACTTTTCTTTCTTCCTTTACTTTATGCTCTTCTCTGCCTCGTTTTTTCTTGAGTATTCTTTGGGTTTTCCTTTGGTTGTAGTGTGTTTCGTATTAACACATGGCACCCCTGCGGCAGTCAAGAACACCGGCTCCAGAGGTAAGGCTACCAACCAAAGAAGATGATTTGGCCCCCAAACTTGACGCTCTAGCATAGCTTGCTGCAGCTCCTGCTCCTGAAGAAGTGAAAAAGGCTCCATTCAGCAAAAGGTCTCCCTCAGACCTCCAATTCCAACTTTTCCATTCCGATTCACCAGTATCTACTCTCTTTGTCACCTGTTTCACATTGAATTCCCCATTTTTAACCAAAAACTTCAGTATCATTATCATCATCAACAACAACATCATGGGTAAGCAAGCATTTCACCTCTTTAGCAAAAGGGTTCACAGGGGCAAGGTATCTGTTGCCTTGGCTGTTAATTGTGGGGTTAGCACTGCCACCAATTGCATACATTTCCCAGTGGGTATAGTCATTGTTAACAACGTGGAAATACCCGTGTCTGCACCTGCATTATCCATATACAATTCATTGTTAACATATATAAAGTACCTGTGATTTAAGTGACCTTTTTAATTTATTGAAGAACTTTAACATCATGGCGCATAGATGGAAAGGTCCAATGTTGATTGGTTTATTTGTAAAAATTAATGGACTGTTTGATGAGCCATTTGACCCTGTTAAATTTTAAATGGGCTTCCGAGAGCCCAACAGAAAACATCAACTATGAAGTACCCAAGAATACTAACACCTGCCCCCACATCTATCAAAAGGAAACATAATATAATGCAATTGTCATATATCATAACGTGATTTGAATTGTTTAGCAAAATTTAAACGTAAAAAGTCAAACAAAATTGACCCCTTGCATGATTAGAAGATAGGAGTTACCTGGGCATTCTTTGGATAAGTCCCTCCCCAAAATGGTTGTAAGCAATGGTTACTTGCATCTGCTTGTCGCGGACATAAGAGTCACTGTGACCCAGAAGCATAACCTGTATAATTTTAAAATCAATTAACATGATGAATATTTTAAGGGCGTCGGTAATATTATCTTTTTATATCTTTTTTATAAATTTTAAAAAATAAAAAATCTGAAATATTAATAAGATGAGTGATGATCTAGATGATGTTGTCGTAATAAATTAATGATGTCACATGTGGAAAGAGTGGAAACCTCGTTGTGGTGGGTGAAGTAGTTGTTGGAGATGGTAATGGCAGTGGAGCCAATAATGGCGTCGATAAGTCCGTCAGCGCAATTGGAGAGGGAGTTATGGTCGATCCAAATGTGGCTTGAACCAAAGATGGAGACGCCATCCCCGTCAGCGATTGTTCTCCACCCGTAGTGGGAGGGGGAGCTGCGAACCATGGCGTTGCCTGTGGGCTTGCAGTCGTGAATATGGAGGCCATGGATGATGACGTTGGTGATGAACTGGATGGTAATGCAGGCGCCGTACGCGATGTGGACGTTGACGCCGCGCCCGTCGATGGTCTTGAAGCTGTTCATTATCAGCTCCTGCTTCAGCGTAATCACCATGTCCCTCTTAAAGACAATCCAGAGGGGACGGTCTTGGATCACGGCGTGCCGGAGCGTTCCTGGTTTCGGGTTCACCGGGTCATCGTCGTTCGGATCCGACACCACGTAGTAGCGGCCATCGCGCCCTCCAATCGCGTTGCGGCCGAAGCCGATGCCACAGTTGGCAAGCCGCTTTCGCCGGAGGTACCATCGCCTGTCGCACCGCCAGCAGTCGTCGATTGGGTTCCCCGTCCCACATGAGAAGAAATTCAGATTCCTTCGAGCCGTCGAATTGTGTATGCTCCTGTTTTAAGTCATATATAAATTAAGTAAAAAAGCACATAAGACACTAATACGTAGATCGTCGAAATGAATCTGGAATCTGATAGAGTGATCAACTTCACTCTTCCTTCACTATTAACGCTAAATATTTTGTCACCCTTTATCTCTTTCTTTCATCAGTTCTACCCGGGAGTTTGAAAAAAAATATATATATCTAAACACAGCATGTTAACAAGAATTGACTTTTGACTTTTATTCCTAGGTTCGAAAAAGTTATTAAAGAATCCTAGATCAGGACTTGTTTGTAGTCTTAAATACTATTTATTTAACAGTATTTAAATTGATATTTTATGTAAATAAATAATAATTTCTTAATCATGTATTACGTAAAAAGGTTAATTAGGAATTGTGATAATAATTCTTCTAAATTTGGAATATAAAGGTTGAAGAAAGGAGACAGACAAAGGAAAAATAAAAAGGGAAAGAAACTGATAAAATGTCATAATAATAATAATAACAATAAAAAGAGAAAATAGAGCAGAGGTATGACGAAATAAAAAAAGTATATGCAAATGAGAACCTATTTTTTCTTATTCACGTCATCAGATAATTTGATAAAGATGAATTAATATGGGTATTTTTAATCATGTACATGTATATGCTCTTAAATTACATGCTCAACTTCTGTCATCTTCTACTGCAACATTGTAACTAGGCAAGTTATGATAAGAATTTGGAAGCAAAAACTAAAATAGTTAGTGATGAGATGAAAGAATGAATTGAAAATTAAAATGAGTTAATAATGAACAGTTTTATATGCAAGTGGGTGTGAATTTATTTATCATTGATGTTTATGCATGGCCGAGATTAGTGGTGGGTCGGTCATGTGGGTCTATACGGATGGAATGATACGGCGCATACGGAAAATCGGGGTAGGAATCAAGCATAATTTATCTCTGCTAGAAATAAATGTCAAGGTGGGGGAGATCTAGTTTCTACTTAGTACTTTAGGGTGTCGGTGGCGAAAAGCGTTATTATTAAGTTCCTGAATGATGGTCATTTAATAAGCTCATGGAGGTCTCATTGAATAGCATAATGTGTCAGACAGACAGCAGCTGCTAGATCGGCCAAAACACAACTATGACTACAAAGTGTTACGGTGGAACCAGATCTGATCTGATCTGCAATTTGGAGCTATTTCTTGCAGACAGGCTGGAGAAAGGAACACCATTCATGTGCCTTACCCCACCTTGTTGGAAGGTGTGGGAATGGGTACTGCATAAGTTCCCAACACTCTGAATTCAACTCTGTATATTTTGTTCTACTACTGCCAGAGATGTAAAAAAGGCAAATGCAATCAATAATGCACAAAACAGTCTTTATCTACTGATATGAAACTGTACATAGGACCAAATCATCATGTGGAATGGATGATGCAATTATTTTATCCACCTCAATCGGAGAATGCAGAACGACTCCAATGATTTTGATTTTAATTTTCGTCATGTTTTAAACTATATATCCATGCAGTATATATAAATGACATTCACCTACTGTCTACCAGTGAATGTGATTAGGGAAGCAACCAAGGGGACCATTGGTCTAAAAATGTGAAGAGAGAGTTAAGTGACAGGTCTACCTAAGACTCAAATGACTTTTTTGAAGTCATTAGTCACGAAGCTTGGATTTTAGGCACAAAAGGTGTTTGTACTTGGAAAAGCAATTTTCGGATAAGGGAAATGAAAAAAGACAATAAAATTGTCATGAACGACATGGTCGGATCTCGAGACACTAGCATGTGGTTAAGCTGGCAAATAGAATATGAACGCTTCAATTTTTAAGAGATCTCATCTGCAAAGAACATGGTGGTTGATTCCTTAGAACCGTGTAAGGGAACTTCACAACGTGAAGAATTAATTAAAGCGTGAACTACATTTAATAATTATGAAAAAAAGAAAGAATTTTGAAAACTAATGGCACCGTGACTAAAGGGAATAACAAACCTGTTAAATACGTCAGTGTGTGAAAAGCATCAAAGAATAAGGTCATTAATCGTGGAATCAGATACTATTATTTTCCTCGTTTTCTTTGCACATGATCCTAAACTATTGTGTGATAAAACTAAACAGTTAAACTTTAAATATTTTGCTCAACTCTTAAGAGTCACAATACTAATACTTTAGTACTCTAACATAATCTTTCAAAAAAATGGTAGGTCCTTCCCAATCAATTATTAGTTTAGAACTTTTCAGGAGAAGTTGTTTTCCAGAGGTGATATTTGTTCCAACCAGGAAATTTGCTCTAAAATCCCTTGGCATTTGCTGTGACGTGGATATTATCGTTTGTATGTTTCCCTGTACTAAACAGGCGTAGATTTTGGGGTAAGCCCAATAATGGAAAGTCGTTGGCATACCTCATAATTATCAAAAGAACAACACATATAGCTTGTGGCTTTCAATTAAAACATAGCTAAATTAACCACTTTGACAGAAGTTTTCATAAAGGCAAAATTCTCCAAATAAGAGTGCAAAGGTTAGTAATATATTATCCAATATTATTATTCCAAAAGGAGGATTCACGAGAAGTAATCAAGGGTATATGTATTTTCCTTCTTTGGTCTTGAATCCCAATGATTATTACTACATTAATAATACTAAGCCAAGTGGGTTTGCCGTGCTGATTCTCTGTTGATCCTTATATTCTGTTAAATGAGCATGTGAGGCCTCTTCTCTAAGCTAATAAAAAAATATATATCAACAGTTAAACTAATCTAAGAAGCACATGACCTATGATGAGATGAGATATAAAGCAACCAATAATATCACTAGAAAACAAAGCAAAAGTTTATATAATAATATTGAATTACCACACAGAAACAGAGGAAAAAGAAAGAGGAAGAAACATTACTCGTTAACCATAGAAGCAATCTCCTCTGGATTATCAACAGCATGTCCATTCAAAGGATCCTCCAACCTGAAAATTTGTAAACTAAAAAAATCAGCTTCACTGCACAAAAAACGACACCGTTCAAATAAACTTCTTAACAGAATTAATCGACGGTTTAGATTTATTAGACGGGATCTGACCAAACGGACCAGATTAGTTCTCTCCCGAGCTGAAAACAAAGCTCGCCCTAATCCAACGGCTCTCATTTTCCGATTCCACATTGACGGCCAGATTAAAAGGTAGTAAATAAACAGTAACAAAAACACTAACCTTTCTGCCATTGACGAATTCTTCAGGCTCTGAACTCGCAACTTCTCCTCTTCAACCACATCCCTGTTCATTCCGATACAAAACCATTTCTCAAATCATACTCTAAAAAGCAAATAATCTAATAAAATAAAAATGCATTGAATTTGAAGCAGGGAAGAAGGTAGAAGCTTGAAGCAATTGTTTTGCCGAGATACCTTGATTCTGTGGCTTTGCGTTTGCTCATCTGATTTTCACTGACTGCGTTGGCGGCAGCTGAAAGCAGCGCCGCAAGCAGAACGGTGATAATGAAGAGTCTGAGAGACAGTGCCTTCATTGCTCTACTGCGTGATTTTCGCAGTTTCTCTGAACACACAGTACTCTACGTTGTTGGTGGTGTGGTGTTGGTTGTTAATGTTGTGAGAGGGAGAAGGCGAGAAAAAGGATGGAGCCAGAGAGGAATGGGGGAGAGGGGGTTTAAATAGCGAGGCACGTACATGGGAAGAGAAAGAGAACAAAGAGGTAGAGGCTGTTAACCAGGGTTAAGTTAGTTAATCAGGGGAATGAGTAACCAAGTGTAACCAACTTACCACCGCTCTAACTGCCATTAACTGCTTTGCTTCTCTCTCTTTCTTTTCTCCGACGTGGCGGCTCTCTCCTTCCTTCCCTTGCTTTGCTTGCCTCTCCTTGTAAGAAAGACAAAAGTCTAACCTTTTCAAATTAAAAATTACTGTACTCCAAATATCATATTACTTTTATTAATATTTTTATTTAAAAAAAATTATAAGTATATTTATGAACTATTACGATTCATAATTTAAACAATTATTCAATACCATACATCCTTGAAAATAATATTTATCATTATTTCTAATTAGTTGATTTTATATTAGTGTAAAAAATTACAACGTGGGATTAAATTCTTTATTTATATATTTTACGCCTTTTTCTTTTCCTAATCTGCTGAGTCTATAACATGTCATGTCACCTTTTTTATTAGATAAAATTTATAATAACAACATAAATTTTTGGAGTTGGAAGAAATATATGAAAACTAAATATGAATATTATATTTAAATGGATTAAAATCATAAAAATATGTGTTATTTTTTCATAATGTGAGATTAAAAATATAATTAATCTTAATAAACACAACGAGAAAAGAGAAGCAAGAAAAATATTTTCAAGTTAAAAATTTCCTCATGTTGAGATGGAAAAAAAAGTAAAAAAACAAAAATAATAATAAGAAGAAGGAGGAAAAGAAAACTGAAAGTTAAAGCCTAGTTTCTGGCAAAAGGTTAATATTTTTTATTTATAAAAATAAAGAACATATAATAAAAAAATTATAATAATTCACAAATTATTTAACCAAATGATTTATATTTTTTTAAAAACATTTAAAATATATCCACATTTTTTTTTTCAAATATTAGCGTATAGTATCCAGTTGGAATACTTGAGTCGGCCCAAGAAATGGAAAACGTTAAAAAAACCAATTTATGTTGGTTAGAGTTAGCATGATGTTTCATTCAAGAATTTATTCTTTTAGCAGTATGCCTCTTTTGATGTCAATTTCTTTCATAGAAGTATCTCACTCAGTATCAACTTTTATGTTTAATTGGGTCTTAATTGGAATACCAAAAATTGAATTCACATGATTTTAGTGTTTACAAAACGATAGGGTTTGTTTTTAGTGATTTAAGAATATATTATATTTTTTTATCTTTTATTTATAGAAACCTGTCAAATAGTTTATTTTTTTTATGTAAAAAGAGAGTTTTTTTTTAATGAAATATAAGAAAATGAGAGAAAGAAAAGAAATTGTTAAGTATCATACAAAATCATAAACACACACAACTAAAATAAAAAGATGAGAAAAACATCGATACAGACAAAAGAGTAATTCCACTAATGAAAGAAATTACAATCCTTCTTTCTCTACCTCTAAGGAGGAAACAATAACACTCTCTCCTGAAAATAAAAGAAAAACAACTCTAAGAGAACCTAAAAGGAGAAACTATTTTTCTCTTTTAATTTATCTCTCAAGTACTAAAACAGTAAGAGAAAGAAAATAAAGTGATTTTGGTGCATCTTATAAGGTAGATATTGTGATCCTTTTATAGTAAGAAAAAGAAAACACCAAACTAAGATTTCTCTGATGTAGGACTTTTCTTCTCACAATCTCCCACTTGAAGATTTTGATTAAATTAATCAAATCTTCACACCATGCTTGTTTTATTCTTGTTATCCATGTTGTTTATTTTTCTGCTAGGTCATAGTAGGATCGACTTCATATAAACTTGTCAACATTAACTGGCTTTGTCATAACATCTGTTAAGTTCTCATCCGTGTGAATCTTTTGCATATCCACACTTCCTTCTTCCACTACTTCCCAAAACAAAATGATATCTTATTCCTATGTGCTTTGTCCTAGAATGAAAGGTTAGATTCCTTGCAATGTGCAAGACACTTTGACTGTCACAATACACAATAATTTGTTGTTGCATGTGTCCAAGTTCCTCCACTATCTTCCTAATCCAAATAGCTTCCTTACATGTCTGGATGACTGTCATGTACTCAGCTTCTGTGGTAGACAGAGCTACTACATCTTGTAACTTGGATAACCAACTTACTGCCCCTCCTGCAACTGTAAACACACATAACCAGTAGTAGATCTCCTTTTATCCAGATCACCTGCAAAATCTGAATCAACATAGTCTCTGACAACTAGTTCTGATCCTTCATAACATAATGCAACACCTGAGGTTCATTTGATGTATATAAGGATCCTCTTTATAGCAGTCAAATGTTTTCCACCTGGATTTCTCATGAATCTACTAACTACTCCCACTACTTGTGCAATGTCTAGTCTTGTACAAATCATGGCATACATAAGACTTCTCACTATTGATGCATACGGTACTCGATACATTTTCATACTCTCCGCTTCATTGTTAGGACTCATACTTGAGGATAACTTACAATTGATAGGAAGTGTGGTAGAAATTAGTTTGCAATCTTGCATGTTGAAGCGTCGCAAGATTTTGAGTAAGTATTTTTTTTTAGAAAGCCAAACATTCCTATCTTTTCTGTCTCTGTGAATTTGCATCCCTAAAATCTTGTTTGTTGGTCCCAAGTACTTCATGTCAAACTCCCTAGCCAATTGTGCCTTTAACTTTTGGATTCGATCTATGTTGGGGCCTACTACCAACATGTCATCCACATACGATAACAAAATCATTATCACCAAACCTATTGTAGTATGTACAATGGTCTAAGCTCATTCTATTATAACCAAGACAAATAATGAAGGAATTAAATCTCTTATACCAACATCTGGGCGCTTACTTTAGACCGTATAGAGATTTGGTCAACCTGCAAACCAAGTTTTCTTGTTCTTTAAAAACTTCTAGTTGGAGCATATAAATTTCCTCTTCAAGATCTCCATGAAGAAAAGCATACACTCTAGCAAACTTCAATCTATGTTGTTTGCTTATCACACAGTGCTCGCAAAAGGGTAAATTAACCTCTTTAAGTTCGGGTAAAAGATTATGTTCTGCAAGGATTTTCAGACCACATTCTGACATATGACCAAGTCTATAATGCCACATGATCACTGCATCTTCCTGACTTGTTGCCACAACTGATGTATCCGCTTCTTTCAACGTATCTCCAAGCAGCACATACAAATTTGCCACAATATTCTTTGCCTTCATGACCACCAAACTCCCCTTCACCACCTTCAAGATTCCATTTTCAACATGGATCTTACACTTGAGGTCATATAATTGCCCAATGGACAATAGATTCTTCTTCAAGTCCTTCACATGCCATACCCCTTGAATTGTGTGAACAGTACTATCATACATTTTAATTTTGACAGTACTAATTCCAGTAATCTCCAATGCATGGTTGTTTCTCATGAAGACAGATCCACCTGAGAATATTTCATACGTGTGAAACCAATCTCGGTGCGGAGTCATATGTCATGTTGCACCTGAATCCACTATCCACTTGTCATGAAACTCCTATTAGAGCCAATTACTGCTTCACTCACCAGACTATCTCCATCTTCTGAGGTACTTATAACACAACCTTGTGAGGTTGATTCTTTAGAGTTGTTTCCTTCATTCTTCCTCTTCCAACACTCTTTTCTCGTATGCTCTTTCTAGCCACAAAAGTAGCATTTAATTTTAGAACTCTTCTTACTTTGAAACCTCGATCTATCATTAATCGAGTCATGTTTTGTTGATCTTCCTCTCATCATTGTCAAAGCCTCTGCTTGATTGAAACTTTCGCCCTTACTTATCCGCCTGGATTCTTCTTCAAGAATAGCTCTGGCAATATCCTCAAAGTGCATATTCCCATCAATATTATTATTTGTAATATTAATGATAAGTTCATCATACGAATCAGGTAAACTCTGAAGTAGAAGCTCTGCACGCTCATTTTCAACTATGTTGAAATCTGCCACTGATAGTTGGGCAAATAAGGTATTCAAATGGTTGATGTGGTCCGTCACTGATGTGGACTCACTCATCCGAAGAGTATAGAGTTTTCTCTTCAAGAATATTCTTATATGAAGTGACTTCACCTCATATATTTTAATGAGGGTATCCCAAATCTCCTTCGCAATAGTCTTATTCGTAACACTGGATAAAACAGAATCTGTCATTGATAAGTGCAAATTCGCAATATTATTGTTGTTCATTTTTTTTCACCGTCATTCATCCGTGTGTTCCACGGTTCTTTTCGCAATTGCATCAATACAATTGTATTCCTCAAAATTGCCTTTATCTTTAATTTCCACAATGAGAAATTACTCTCATTGAACTTCTCTATCTCATATTTTGTTGTCATGGTTCCTAAACCGACTTATGCAATCCTCATTATGAATAGTATTATCTATTGGAACAACAACGGTAGACCGTGAACTAGTAAACCAGGTAAGTTCCTAAGAAAGAGAGGTGGGTCACTAATGGACACGCTTAAATACCAAGTTTTTCCTTACCAGATTTTTTCCTAGACATGCATTATCACACTACCAAATAATATCCAATAACAAGAATACCTTTTTTCTGATGCGGAAGATCAGATTAACCACAACCACAGAACATACTAAGAATTTCTCCAACACTATTCTAATGACTATGCAGCAGAAGACCAATATCACAACCTAGTGACTCTGATACCACTGTTAGGTATCAGACAAAAACATAAACACACATAACTAAAATAAAAAGATGTGAAAAATACTGACAATAGGCAAAAGAGTAATTTCACTAATGAAAGAAATTACAACTCTTCTCTCTCTACCTCTAAGGAGGAAACAATAAC